TTTTCCCAATTAGTGGGCTATCTGTTTGTTTTTTTGTAATATCTCTTTTGCTGTACAGAAGCTCTTTAATTTGATGTAGTCCCATCCGTTTATCCTTGCCTTCACTATTATGGCATTGGGTGCTCTATCTTTAAAGAGGTCACTGAAGTGTATGTCGTGTAATGTTTGGCCCAGAAGTCTGATGTGATCCGGATCGGTTTCCCTTTATAGGTTATTTGTTTCTTCCCTCGTCATTCTCATTATCTTTTCCTTGTCTTGTATTCTTAGAAGTTTTATTATAATATGTCTTGCTGTTTTTCTCCTCTTATCATGGTAGTTTGGGGTTCTTCTTGGATGTCAACTTTCATCTCCATATTAGGGAAGTTCTCTTCTGTTATCTCTGTGAATATTTTCTCTATTCCTTGACCTTTCTCTTCACCTTCTGGGGATACCTATAACTCTGATGTTTCCTTTCCTAATGGTGTCAGGTAGCTCTTGAAGTGTTTCTTCATTCCTTTTCCTTTTTACTTCTCTTTTCTTTTTCTTTTTTAATCTCTTTGTTTCTGTGTCTTCGAGGGTGCTGATTCGTTCTTCCATTTGATCTGTTCTGTTTTCATTACTTTTCCCAGTATTCCTTATTTCCTCTGGTGGCCGTTTCATCACCTGCATTTCTTCTATTTCCTTTTTTAATGTCTCATTTTCTTTCTTCAGTTCGTTGATTGCTTGTCTCATATTTTTTCATTTCTTTCATTCATTTCCTTGTTTGCATTCTTCAACTCCTTGGTGGCTTGCCTCATTTCATTTTGTTTGTTTATCATGATGATTCTGAATTCTTTATCTGGTAGGTTGAGCAGTTCTTCTATTTCTTTGGTGGTTTCTGCTGACTGATCTTTTTGTGGTGAATTTACCCCTGTGGACTTGCTTGAATATTTTTTTGTCTTCTCCTTGTTTTCCCTGTTGTGTATTTTCTAATACTTTCTATTCGCTGAGACACAGTGTTGCTATTATTGACTGGCATTTTTTTTTGGATGTTCTTTCTGGAATGGCTAAGGGACTTCCAGAAACTTCAGTTGTGGAGGATATTCTGAGTTGTGTTATTTTTTCCAGCCTCCACTGTGTGTAATTGTGTCTGTCGTCTCAGCTGGTAACAGTCAGGGGTCTCTTGTGGTGTTCAGCCTCTTTTAGTAAAACATTGAGACCATCCTTCTGGAAGGTGTCTGTTGATCTTTGTAGCCTTCGGATGTCCCAGGTTCCCTCCATGCTTGGTGTGCCGGTGGTGGTTATGATGTATTAGAAGTGTTGTAGGTCTCCCTGGAGCTGGGCCTGTGGCTGAGTTGGTGGCTGGCTTTATTTACTCTCTAAGTACTGTGAGCCTTTCTAGCTCACAAGTCATTGGGCCTCTGTTGTGGGGGTGGGATCTCCCCTTCCCCACAGGAGTGCAGGGGAGTGCCAGAGGGCTGAAATCCCAGCTGAGCAGGCTGCCAGTCCTCCCTCTGAGCTTTCAGGGCTCTTTGTGTCTAGCCAAACAGTCCTTCCCTGAGCAGTGCCTCCCCACTGCCTGAGTTTCTCTCACAGAGCACAGCTGTATCTGTTTAACTCCAGAGTTTTACCACAGTTTTTGTGGGTAGATGCGGTTCGCACGTAGACACGTTAGCAAGTCTCCCCATTTGAGGCACTTCCTAGGGCCTCTCTATGTTGAATGTGCCCATGGAAGATTGTTAAAATTGTTGCATTTTCCTAGGGTTTGGCCTGTGGTTGGGTCCTGTCTAACCGTCCCCACTCTACCCCCCCCTTTAACTCAGGGGCTTTGTGAGTCTTGCTGACCACACCTTAAGAATGGCGCCAAGACCTGACCAAACCCTAATGTTGCCTAGTCTCAGATCTCTGTTGTGGGGGCAGGAGATGCGGGTAGGACTAGAGGGGCCCCAAGTGCCAGTTCCTCTTCTCCCCATCCAGGGCTCTAAGTAGAGCAGTTTTTTTTTTCCTTGTCACCCCCTTCCCTCCCCCCCAGCTTAGGATCCACTCACCTAGCTGTGTTGTCTCAGTTTATATCCAGGGCTTTGTCGGGGCTGCTGGGGCAAAGGAAGGCAACTCCTCTGCGGGGTATCCTTGGGTCTGCAGTCTTTCCCCACAATTTGGTTTACTCTCCCTAGCTGAGTTGTCTCAGTTTATCTCCAGGGCTATAGCAGGGCTGGGGCAAAAAGCTGCTGCAGCTGTGCAGAGCAGCCGCAGCTGCCATAGCAGTCAGTCTCCCTCTGCAGTGCTTCCTGGTGTCGGGGCGCCTAGATTTTTAAAGGAGCTAACGAGTAGGAAGCCACTGGCTTCCCAGATCAGAAGCTGCCTCTACCGCTTCTGGTTAGGAATTCCCTTATGGGAACTCCCAATCGCCGATTCTCCCTTGGTTATCTTCCTTCTAGTGAGTCCAGGGCATTCTCATTTGGGTTGAAACTCGTAGCGTGTAAGTCTATAGTCCATTTTTATATATTCTTGTGCGAGTTTGGATGTAGTCGTCTTGGCGTCTTTATTCTGCCATCTTGCCTGTTCCCAAGCTGGTCTTCAGAGGCTTTGCAGGGCGCCCAGGTACTCCCGGTTGGGTCTGCAGTTTCAGTGATTTTTCCCGGTAGCCAGGTGTTGCGGATCAGATTTGCAGTCTTTCCGCAGCCTGGGCTCCACTCACCGAGCTGAGAAGTCCCCCTTCACCTCCAGGGCTTTAGCGTGGGGCAAAGTGGCTCCT